TCTATATAAATATAATTGTTACTGTCTTCTTGTCTATGTATATATGCATATGCATCTCTCTGTGTGCGTGTTTGTGTGCGTGTGTGTGTGTGTGTGTGTGCGTGTGTATGTGTACGCCACATGTACTATATATATATGTATATATTAAAAATATATAATATAATCTATATGTTGTATATTATACAATATATATTACATATGTATGGATGCATGTATGCATCTATACATGTATGTGTACGTGTATTTATGCGTATTTGTTTGTGTACTTCAGTGCATATGCGGATGTACACCTGGCGTCGTGCAGCCCCAATTCAAACAATGCTGCTGCTGCTGCTGCTGGGATAGAGCTGAGGTGCAGAGCCATCGAGAGGAAGAGCGCCACAGACAGAGACAGTTACTTATCTCTTGCAAACTAGAAGGGGAATGTCTCCTCTAGAAGTTAAGGCGGATGGGCAATATTAGTATTAGAAATGAGGTCTCTTCTTCGGTTTTTCTTTCCACCATGTAATAAAAATGTTTTCCAGAGACAAACGCAGAAGAACTACTATTAGTAATGGGGGGCACCTCTACAGCTAATCTTTTTCCTTCTGTTCTTGTATATCCCTTTCTGTTCCTTTATCTTCTTCTGTTAGCCTAGAGTGACTCCAGCCTTAACATGGCCTTCTTCCTTTATCCTTTTCACTCAGTGCGCTCTCTTTTTGCATCTTTTGCTCATCTTTATGTGGGGGCATTGAGGTGTATCTACATCTAAATAATGCAGCGGCGAAGCTGATGTGTATGCACAGCCTAGAGGGCAGTAGGGAGCGAAGCATCTCTTCATAAAGCCTAATAGGAAAAATACACTTAGAATCCCTTAAACTTTAGATCAGTTAAAATATAGCTCTCGCCATTAATTCAATTTCCTGGCTTAACAGGAACAATACAAACAAAGAATGTAGAGAGTAAAGCAAAACGAGAAGAAGACGAAGAAAACATCCCATCAGTTCTTTATGTTATCCTATGTTTATTTATTTTCAAACAATTTCTCTTGAAGTTTTTTTGTTTCCTCCCTGTACAGAAAGAATATAGAAAAAAGTAAGAGGGAGAGCATCTGAGCGGCGGGGCCGCCACAGCAATGGGGGTTGTTGCATATGTTTTTTTGTTATTGTTTCTCTGCAATTAAAATTAATTAAAATTAATCTTTTATTTCCAATTTTCATCGTAAAGGACCCGAAGGCAACAGCAGCCGGCTGAAGATTGCTGCTGGTCTAGGCCCCGCCTGCCTGCAATGCAGCTCTGGGGTGTATAGGCAGCAGCAGAAAAAAGAGAAGCTTTCTCTTCGTATCCTTTTATTCACTTTAACCCAAAGTGCCCCAAACAGCCCCGTGTACATACACTGCAGGGAGAGGCCCCAGCCGCTCTCCCCAGAGGGCCCGTAAAGGGCCCCCTGCAGCACGAGAGGCCCTAGCTGAGCGCAGCCTTGCGATACCCCAGCCTGAATAACGAAAGCTGCAGATCCCCAGGGGCCCCCCTGTGCCCCTTTTTTATGAAGGAAGGGCCCCTGTTGCTGTAAGCCGCAGTAGAACGGGCGCGACTGGGGGCCCCTGCCCCCAGCCGCTCTTTCTCTTATCTGTTCACAGCGTGGGCCCCGAGAGGTCGCACCCCCTCAATATGTCTTTGCCTCCAAGTAATCCCTTTTCGGAGGCCCCGCGCAACCCAGAGGGGGCCCCCAGCAGCAGCAACCGCCAGCCGTACCCCCCCGTCTTAGGGGCCCCCGGACACCCTGGGGGGCCCCCCAGCTGCGCCCCAGCCCCTCTTCAAGGTCCAGGGGCCCTCAGTGCTGCTGCCTCAGCCTCAGGGCATCTGCAGCCCTTCATTGATACAGGCGAGAGGGTGCTGCTGCAGTGGGGTGTACCAACAGCAGCAGGTGGCGTTGCTGCTCCTGCCTGGGGCTCCAGCCCTGCACTGCAGCAGAAGCAGCAGCAAACTGAACCCTTCTTCCCCGCAGCCTCTGCCCCCAAGGACCCCGAGGCCCCATTCGGGGGCCCCCTCGTGCAGGGGCCCCTGGCAGCAAACACAGAAGGGCCCCCTGCACCTGGGGGCCCTACTGTTTTGCCTGCTGAAGGAGATCAGTGGGGGCCCCCTGTGCCTCAGCACCCTTGGGTGGGGGGGCCCCCTTCTTCTGCAGCAGCAGCAGCAGCAGCAGGAGCAGCCACTGCTGCACAACCGACGGTCCCTTCGGCGGACGTCGCTTCCCAGCAGCCACAGCAGCAGCAGCTCCCGCAGCAGCAGCTTCTCCAGCAGCAGCAGCAGCAGCAGAGCCGGCAGCAGCATGCGCTTCTGGGGGGAGAAGGTGTACACGGGGGCCCCCCTGGGGGCCCCCCCTCGGGCGTGGAGTTTGCAGCAGCAGAAGGAAAGTGGCAGGGGCGGTGGGCCCAGGGGCCCCCAACTCGCTCGCAGCCGCCAGCGTGCGTTTCTTCTTCTTTAGGGTTTGAGGGGGCCCCCCCTCTAGCTGAGGGCCCCGTCTTTAGTCAGGAGGGGCCCCTCAACCCCGCAGCAGCCCCTGCAGATTTCTTTCGCCCTCTCGCAAACGACATGCCTCCCCATACAAATAACTATGCCCCCTATCAGCTACGCCCAGAAGGGGCCCCCACCCTCCAGTTAAGACACACGGGGCCCCCTACCTTTGTGCAGCGTACAGAAGACCCAGCGTTTGCGGGGGCCCCGGAGGAGCAGCGAGCAGCAAAAGAGACAACTGACGGCCTCCACGGAGAGGGGCCTCAACCCCAGTGGGCATTAGGGCCCCCCGCGGTTTTAGGGGCCCCTGGGGCTGTCGGGGCCCCTGGGGTATTAGGGGGCCCTGGGGCTTTAGGGGCCCCCAGCTCCGGAAGGCACACTGGGGAGGCTGGGGCCGCCCCCACGCTAGACTGCGGGCCCCCACCGAATGGGCCCCTGAGGGTTGCTGCTGCAGCACAGCCGCCTCAGCAGCAGCAGCAGCAGGAGTTGCAGCACCTGTCAGAGACAGTGGGGGTGGCTGGCATGGGGGCGCTCCAGCGGAAGGGGGGCCCCTCAACTGTTAGCGAGAGGCAGCAGCAAGGAGACCCGGGGCTGTGCAGGGGCCTCAACTCAAGCAGCGGGGCCCCTGCGGGCCCCTGGGTTGGCCTGCCAGGGGTACAAAGTGTTGTAGGGGGGCCCCATCCTGTTGGGGCCCCCGTCTCGGGGCCCCCCTACATGGGGGGCCCCTCCCCACCGTTTCTGAGGGGCCCCAACAGTGTCACTGCCCCACAGCCGTTGCTGCGAGGGGCCCCGCGTTCTTCACCTTCTCCGTTGGGGCCCCCCCCTCAGGGGCCCCCGCCAGACAGCTTGCTGTCTGCTGTTGCTTCTCGACAGTACGCGCTGCTAGCAGTAAGGGCTTTTCTGCTGGCTTGTGAGGAGCCTGCGGCGCCCCCATGGAAGCAGATTGCTGCTTGGGGGCCCTGGCTGTCAGGGCAGCAGCAGGGGGCCACCCACCTGGGGCTCCAGGGGCCCCGCCGGCGGGGGGGGGCCCCCCAGCCAGCGGGCAGCGCAGTGCTCACAGAATCCGAGGAGCAGGGGGCCCCAGCAGCAGAAGAGGGGGCCCCAGGAGGGCCCCCTGAGAAGGGGCCCCAGGAGGCGCAGGAGGAGCCCAGCCCTGCTGCAGCAAACAAATCCCCAGCAGCAGATGAGGGCCCCCTCAAACCCGATCGCAAAAAGAAAAGGACAGGGGCCCCCCAAGGGGGCCCCCCATCTAAAAAGGCAACGAAGACCCAACGAGCTGCTGCAGGAGAAGGCAGTCTCGTGGCTTGCGACGGTGAGCTTCCACTGCAGCAGCAACAGCAGCAACAGGAGCAGCAGCAGCAGCATGAGCAGCAGCAACAGCAGCAGGAAGATCTGTTCTTGGGTTGTATTGACAGTCTCAGCGTCAGCGTGGCCTTGAAGTTTTTGTTTGTTTTGTCTTGTTTACACCTGGCTCATGTTCTTATTTTTGTGCTGCTTTTGCTGCTGCTTTTGCTGCTGCTGCTGCTGCTGCTGTTTGTGTTTGTGTTGCTGCTGAGATTCAGACTTATGGGGGCTTGGGGGCGAGTTGCTGCTGCCTTGCAGCTCTTCTTCATTACCTCTTTCAGCAGTGCAGCAAGCAGATTTATGCTTAGACTTGTTAACAGCTTTAGGGCGTCTGCGCCCGCAGTGGAGGGCCCGCAGCAACAGAGTTCCTTATCAGCTGCACGTTATTCGGTTGAGGCCCTCTTTGCTGCAGCCTGCAGCAGCCCCACCGAGCTCTGTCTTAGATGCCTATACAGCTGCTTTGGGGCCCCTTGTGGCTCATATTGGTGAACTGCCGTACGTACACCTCGCCCCAGGAGAAGCAGAAGAAGTTGTTGAGGAGATTCAGATCCTTAGGGGGCCCCCTGCTATTGATGCTGTGCTGCGGGCCCTAGACGCTTTGGGGCCCCCCTGGGGCCCCCAAGGCAGCCAACCTGAGGCAGACTCTGAAGCAATCGAAGCAGAGGCAATGAGGGATATGGGGGACCCCCGGCAGCAGGTGCTGTTGCAGCAGCAGCTGCAGCAGCAACAGCAACAGCAGCAACAGCAGCAAGCGCAGCGGCTCCAGCAGCAACAGCAGCAGCAACTGCTGCTGCTGCAGCAACAGCAGCAGCAGCAGGGAGAGGCTTCTCGAGGGGCGGAGGCGCCAGCAGATGGCCATAGAAGCCCTGCAGAGACAGAAGTGCTGCTAGCTTACAACCCTGATTTAAAGGTGCTGCGGCAGCTGAATTACCTTGTACATGGAACTAGGGTGTACGTACACCAGGATGTTCTAGATGCAAAGCTTGCTGAGATGGGGCTTCCTCCCTTACCTCCACCTGCTGCTGGGGGCCCCGATGGGGGCCCCTCTTCTTCTCGGGGCCCCTTATCTCGCTTTGTTATGGCGGAGGCTGGTGATAGGCACTTCGTCTGTCCCTACGGGGAGTATCTGCCTCTGAAGCCTCTGGGGGCCCCCCAGCAGGTGCTGCAGTTTTCTGTTGGCCACGTAGTGGAGCTGCTGCAGGAGGGGCGTCTGTGTTTGCTGCGGTTTACTGAGAGGGAGGCTTTAAAGCGGCGGCTTCCTTTGTTAGGGGGCCCCCAGGGGCCCCCTAACGATGCAGGTGGAGGGGTTGGGGGCCCTGGAGGTAGCGGAGGACCTTATAAACAACAGAGAGGCAGCAAACCTGCTTGCTGTCCAGCTCCTGTTGGTATAGAGAAGATATGTCGTTGTAAGTGCAACCATAGACGGCAAGAGCTGTGTATACAGCTGAAGCAAAGGCTACGGGCAGATAAGAAAGGATGTTTAGCAGCAATAAAAGAATATCTGGACCTCAACCATGTTGCTTATGCATTGCCGTCTGCTCGTACATGTCAGCTAGAAGTACTTTCTTATCTATTTGGCGTAAACCCTTGGTTATACGCAAAAAATAAACACGAGGCCCCACCCGAGGCAGAGGTGGCGGTGATAGTACGGCGCTATAAAGAGTTGGTGAATACAAAGGAGTACGAGCAGACCTTTAAAGCCTGGATTGAAGAACAAGCACGAGAAAAATCGCTGCAACAGGAGATAACTGCAGACATTACAGCAATTGGCCTTAACTTAAAGGACCCAGAAGGTGGTGGATGTCTTGCTGCAGCTGTACATACACCTCAACAAGACCCTAGAGTACAAGCCAGCATAGCTCAGCTCGTTCCTAATACCCCTATTTGTGTTCGTTTTAAAGCACTCTTGGGGCTTCCATCGGGTAATGAACAGCACCTTAGAGGCGTTGTACGCCGCATTCAAACACTGCCGAGGGGCCGAGCTATTAGCCTCTCTATAAACAACAGAAAAGAAGAGTTCGTGTTGCTTCCTGAAGAGCTTCAAACCCTTGTAGCACATGATGATCTTAGGCTTGTACGCATGCGCTCCCGCCAGTGGTTCGCCTATGAGGCCCACGCTGCGGGGGGCCCCTCAGCAGCAGGGTCTACTGGGGGGCCCCCAGGGGCTGGGGGGGGCCCCCCATCAGACACCAACTGGGGACCCTCTACACAGGAAGACAGCTGGAAGGGAGGAGACACGCAGCCTTAAATAGGGGGCCCCTGTCTCCTTTTTGCAGTTTCCTCGGCTCGCAGTGTATGAGTGTATGTATGCATGCATGCATGCATACAACACAACGATGAGGGCCCCTCTCTGCAGCTAGTTCGCCACGAACGACCCAGGCAACCCTAGCTAGCAAGCCAGCTAGCTAGCTAGCTATCTGGCTAGCTGGCTAGCTAGCTAGCCATAGGGATGCAAATGCGTTTCGCCTACAGACCGGCAATCGCATCAACTTAAGCCGTATTTAAATTTTGAGACTCTGCCTCCTCTAGCTGGCTAGCTAGACAGCAAGCTGCTGCTGCCTGCACGGTGTAAGCTAGTTACGCCCCCCCACCTTCCCCCCTTTCCGTAGCTAGCTGGCTAGCTGCGTAGCTGGCTAGCTAGCTACGCAGCAATCTCCCACCCGAGGTAGGACCCACTAGCTAGCTTGGAGTCTTTTCACAAGTTCTCTCCCTTTTAGTTGGCTAGCTAGAGTAAATAAGGTTATTATTGGGTGCTTCTCTAAGCCTAACTAGGGCTGGCCAGCTAGCTAGCTAGCTAGTTGGCTAACTAGCCAGCTAGCTAGCTCCGCGCCTTTGAGCCGGCTGGTTCGTACGTTGTACTATTCAGCAAGGAAATTGTCTTGCGAGTTATATCCCGTCTTGAAGGGGGCTCTGTTGGTGGTGGTTAGCTAGCTAGCCAACTAGCTAGCCACCATCAACAGAGCCCCCTAGCTAGCTAGCTACCCAAGTAGTGGGATGAGCTAGCTAGCTAGCTAGCCAGCAGTCCTCCTGCGTGGCTAGCTGTCTACCCCAGCTAGCCAGCTAGCGACGTGTGTGAAGGAGACGCAAGCTAGAGCCCAGGCTTGCTGCAGCAGCCCTAGCAGCAGGGCAGCAGCAGCTAACAGGTCCCCAGTAACAGCAACAAAGGCACATAAAGCAGTAAACAGCAGCAGCACAAAGGCAGCTAGCCTCTCTGCTCGCGGCGAAGTGACACCTGGGAAAATTTTGACCCGAGGTCCAGAGGGGCCCCCCCCTACACCTTCGTTTCTCTGCATGCGCTGGGGGCCCCCCTTTAACTTCAGTCGAGCCAGAGCTACAAAGCGCAGCCCCGTCGAACCCCATGAGTAACACACCTTCTTTGCACCTGTAACAACTCCTGCTGCTGCTGCTGCTGCTGCTGTTGCTGCTGCTGCTGCTGCAGATGCTGTTTTTGCTGCTCTTGTTGCTGCTGCTGGCGCAGTTGCGCCAACTGCATCACCTGCCGACGACGGTTCAGAACCAGCAGCAGCAGCAGCAGCATCTGCTGCCGCTTGGTCAGTAGCAGATGCAGCATCTGGAGCAGCAGAAGAGGAAGAACCTTTCTTCTCGCTCTCTTGTCCCTCCTGAGGGCAGCACACAACAGCAACAGCAGCAGCAACAGCAGCAGCAGCAACCCCACAGTATGTGTGCCGACACTTCTTCAAAGCCTCACCAAGGCAGCAGCAGCAGCCAGCAGCAGCACCAAATAAGCTACATGGAAGCAGCAAATTTGCTGCTAGCTGCTGCAGCTGCCTTTGCTTCTGTACCCTCTCTCTCCCTAGGGGCCCCCTCTAACTCACCAGTGCAGCAGCGGCCCCCGCAGAGGGGGGGCCCCCCTGAGCGTCAAAAGACTCTGCAGCAAAACGATTGCGGCTCGTCATCTTCCTCCTCCTCTGCCTAGAAAAAGGAGCTGAAGCAGCAGCAGCAGCAGCTGCTGCTGCTGCTGCTGCTTCTGCTGTGGCCTCTTCTGTTGCTACTTCTGCTGCTGTTGTTGCTTCTGCTGCTTTTGTTACTTGTTCTTCTTCCGCTGCTTCTGCTGTTGTTGCTGCTTCTGCTGCTGCCCCTGTTACAGTTTTTACTGTCCCCGAGCCTTGCGCTGTCTCCTTGTCTGCAGCAGCAGCTTTCTCGTTGCTGCTGCTGCTCCCTGCAGCACTTTCTTGCTGCTGATTGTCGCTCAGCAGAAAGGAGACAAGGGGACGGGGCCCTGAAGCACCAATGGCCTTAGACCGGGTCCTTCTCCTGAGGCCTCCTGCTGCTGCTGGAGGCGCTGCTGCTGCAGCAGCAGTAGCAGCGCTGTCTTCCTCCACAGCACCAGAACCGCTTCCTGCAGCAGCACGAGCAGCGTCTGCTTCAGCAGCAGCAGTAGCAGCGCCGTCGCTCGGAGATTCCCGCGGCTCGCCTGCTTCTCCCTCCTGCTGCTGCTGCTGCTGCAGCAAACTGACAGCAGCATCTGCTGCTGCTGCTGCTGCTGCCCCTTGTGGGTTGCTGCTGCTGCAACCCCGCTGAGGCCTCCCCACTACCGCCCCTCTCTTGCGGCTGCGTTGGAAGACCACTGCTCCCGCTGCTGCTGGGCTCTGCTGCTGCTGCTGCTCCTTTTGCTGCTGCTGCTGCTGCTGTTGCTGTTGCTGGTGTTCCTCTACCGCGCTGCTGCTGGGGGCCCTTCCCGTTGAGGAAGAAGCAGTGTCTCCTGGGCCCTCTGTCTCTGCTGCACTGAGACTACCTGCTGCAGCAGCCTCTTTCTCCACTTGGTCTTCGCCGTCTTCTGCTTCTGCTGTCCCTGTTCCTGCTGCTGCTGCTGCTGCTGCTGCCTCATCTGCTGCTTCTCGCGCCTGCAATGCGCTGCGGGCCCAGAGGGAGGCGACAGCCTGAGGTGAAACGGCGTGTGTCTCTGGATAGGTTTCTGTAGCAGTGTCTTCGAGAGCAGCATCAGTTGCTGCTGCAGTTGTTGCTGCTGTTGCTGCAGCAGCTGCTGCAGCAGAGTAGGTGGTAAGCAGCGGAGAAGAAGCACCGCGAGAAAGCCCGAAAGATTCTTCTGTCTCCTTCCAAGAGATCCGGTCTGCTGCTATGCTAGTGTCTCTTCTCTGCAGCGCAGCAAATGCGTGGTTGCTGCTGGGGCTGATGCTGCCTTTACGAAGCAGCGCTGCTGCTGGTACTGCTGCTGATGAACGTTCTGCTGCAGCAGAAAAGGGGTCTGCATCCCCGAAGCCATTGCTGCTGCTGCTGCTGCTGCTGTCTGAATGTCGCTGCAGCAGCTGAGCAACGTCGCTGTCAGGCGCTCTTCTAGCAAACTCCTCTAACCATTGCTGCAGCTGTCTCTGCATCTCTCTAGTTTTTGCTGCACCAGCTCCAGCAACAGCACCTGCTACAGCGGCATGTTTAAATAGAGGCCCCCACTCGGTGCTGCTGCGGAGAGAGTCCTGCTGCAGCAGCAAACCGCCTTGTATCTCATGTGGAGGCGCTTGCTGCTGTTCTTCTTTGCTGCAGGTGTCTCCCATATGATGCTGCAGCGAATGATGATGATGATGATGATGATGCTGCTGCTGCTGCTGCTGCGCATTGTGCGTCAGCTCCGAAGCAAAAGAAGCATATATAAAGGTAACAGAGGGTAAGAAGAAGTTAAGAAAGAGACCCGAACATAGACCGAAAAGAGAAGCTATATGTCTAAACAAAGGCTGACAGCATAACAGCCAGTATAATAACCACGGAATTGTTGAGGCTGTACGAAATGCAGATCTTTTGTCCAAACATATCGCCATGTTCAATAAGTCGTACCTGCACATACACCCCAATTTTAATAATATATATATATATATACATATATATATATATATATATATATATTACTATATCAATGCAGCATATTACATACACTCTTTTACTTTATTTACGCATATTTATTTCTATCAAAACAAAAATAATACTAATATATTATAACATTCTGTATTCTAATTAATAAAATATATGTATGCACATATATTTATACATACATATATATATATATATAAGAAATATATATTATATATTTACTGGAGCTAATTAAATAATTTAGATGTATTATCATTATATGCGTTCATTTGCATGAAACAATACAATATACATATATATATATATATATATATATATACATATATATATAATTATATATGTGCATATATATATACATATATACATATATATATATTTAAATATATAATTATTTATATTCACTGGATATATTTAAATACAACCAGTATACACACACACATATATATATATATATATATGTTTAGAATCTTTATACATTAATCTGCATATAAAAATGAGTATAAACATGACTAGATATACATACAAATACATAAATAAATAAATATATATATATATATATATACATATATATATATATATATATTATCCTTATATGCGTATACGAATATAAAGCCATATCTTTTTATAAATAAATAAATGTATATATATATATAACAAACATAAACAATAATATATACATATATGAATAAATCTATATCTAAACAAACAAACAAGCAAATTAAATAAATAAAATAAATAAATAAATAAAAAATAAATAAATAAATAATATATATGAATTACCTCGAGCTGATTTGAGCAAGCACGATGTTAGGAAGAAGAGCAGCGACATGAAAGAGACAAATGAAGAGAGCAAAGAAAGATGAGAAGCCCTCAGCTGCTGCTGCTGCAGTATGCATGAGAGCAGCAAGTGCATTAGAAGACTCAGCAGCCCCCACAAAGGCTGAGGTGTACAGACACCCGAACAAAAGAAATAAAAAAGCAGAAAATATACTGCTCACCCATACTGTTAGACATATCTGTTAAAACAAACAAAACACACAGCAGCAACAGCAGCAGCACTAGCAGCATTAGCAGCAACAGCAACAGCACTAGCAGCAACAGCAGGCGCACTAGCAACAACAGCAACAGCAGCAGCCCCAGCAGCAACAGCAGCGGCAGTACTAGCAGCAACAGCAGCGGCAGTACTAGCAGCAACAGCAGCAGCAGCACTAGCAGCAAGAGCAGCAGCAGCAGCACAACCTTACGGGGACATTATCTTTAACTTCATTAGCCCAGGAAGGAAGAGAAGAAGAAAATCCAAAGGCATCAACCATGCAAGGAATGCCGGTGCGAGCAGCAAAGCCATCGAAGACTCGCTGCAGCAAAGGCAGCAACACCCCAGCCTCTCCCCCTCTTGCTGCTGCTGCTGCTGCTGCTGCTGCTACTGCTGCTGCTGTACCCCCTCCACCGCCAGGAGCACCTGTAAACCCTGCTGCTGCAGTGAAGGGACCCCCTACAGGAAGAATAGCTCCTGTCCCTGTTGCTGCTGCTGCTGCTGCTGCTGCTGCTGGTGGCGGTCCCGCTGCTGCTGCTGCTGCTGCTGTGTCTCCCGCTGCTATTGCTGCTGCGTCTCCTGCTGCTGAGGTGTATGAGCTGCTCCCCCACCCTGTGCCTGTCTTACCAAAGACAGCAGCAAAGCAAACATTGCATGCAGCAGCAACAACAGCAAAGAAGGAGACAAACTGCAGCGCCATCGTGTCTTCAAGATCTGAAGCAGCAAGCCTGAGGCCCGCAGCAGCTGTAAGCAAATAGCCAAGGGAGACTCCCACATAGTTAAGACAAGGCACACAATCTGCTGCTGCTGCTGCTGCTGTTGCTGTTGTTGCTGCTGCTGCTGCTGCTGGGTCAGGGCATGTAGCTGTACATACACCGGAGAAGATTTCCTCCAGCTGCTGCGGCGAAGAGACAAAAAGGAAGGGTTTAAAGTTGGGGATGAAATCCCAGTCTTCGGGTGTCCCCGCTGCTGCTGCTGCTGCTGCTGTTGCTGCTGCTGCTGGGTCTGCAGCAAAGGAGCGGGTGAGGCGCCACAGCAGCAGCACAGCTGCCCTGAGAGGCCACACAGTAAATGAAAATACGTCTCCGATATTTTTAAAGAATTGCAGCAAATTATTAATCAAAGATGTGTCTCCTCGGGGCAGCAGCGGCAGCAGCACTGTCCACCCCAATACCCGCAGCAGCAAAGCATCTATACAATATGCAATTAGCAAAGCAGCAGATGCAGATGAAAGAAACGAGTTAATATACAGCAAAGAAGCAACAAACTTAGAGACAGAATGTCGACTAGGCAAGGTGAACATACACCCCAACACACGCCAAACCCTCAGCAACAAACTCCAACACAAAATCCTCTTCACCACCTCCGGCTCTTCCTGCTGCTGCTCTTGCTGCTGCTGCTGCTGCTGCTGCTGCTGCTGCTGTTGTTGTTGTTCGTGATGCTGCTGCAGCCTATCTCCCCCTTCTTCTGTATCTTCAGGCCCTTCCACCGCTCGAGTAGTAGCAGCAGCAGCAGCATGTTCCTCCTGCTGCAGCTGTTGCTGCTGTTGCTGCTGCTGCTGTTGCTGCTGCTGCTGCTGCTGATGGTGGTGGTGATGGGGGAGCTGTAGAGTCAGAAAATATCGCAGGATTGCAGAGTACTCATATCGTTCGCTAAAATTTGTATTACCGTAAATAAATGTCATACTTTTCAGGAAAAGCAACGAGCAGACAGACGAAAATAAACAAAATAAACAAATATATAAACTTGCTCTCAGTGGTCCGGCGTCCTGGACGAAGGAAGGCATCGATAATAAACCTAAACAAATAAAAACAAATAAAAAACAAAAATATAAATAACAATTAATTCTTAAAATACTTATCAAATGCAACAGCAGCACCAGCTGCACCCCTTTCAACAGCACAAGCATTTGCACCACCACCGTCATTAGCGGCAGCAAAAGCAGCAGCAGCAGCAGCAGCAACTGCAGCACAAACCGCCACAGCAGCAGCCCAAAGGAAAACAACAGCAGCAGCAATAACAGCAGCAGCAACAACAGCAGCAGCAACACCAGTAGAACCAACAGCAACAACAGCAGCAACAGCTGCAACACCAGAAACAGCAGCACCAACAGCAACAGCACCAACAGCAACAGCAGCAGCAACAGCAACAGCAGCAGCAACAGCAAGAGCAGCAGCAGATTACCTGAGGCGATGATTTGATTGGATATAAAAACAAAAGAAGCAAAACTCCCTATGGTCTTTTTATACTTCCAGACAACTGTCTTATGTCTTCTTCTTTTTCTCTCAAATAGAGGGGGGCCCCCCCCTCTCTGCATTAATAAGCTTCTCTTTATAGACAGCAAAGCTGCTGCTCCCCTAATACTCCCACTCCCGGGGGCCCCCCCTATACTACTATCATTGGGGCCCTCCAGGGGCCCCCAGGGGCCCCCCTCCTCGGGGCCCCCCTCCTGTCTTCCTACTTTGGGTGTCAGTGAACCAAACAGCCAATTCATTATACCTGTGCGGCTCCTTCGTCTTAGGGGGCCCCCCTTAGAATAGGTAGACGGGGGCCCCCTACGGGGCCCCCCATCTAATGGGGGGCCCCCCCCTTTGCCTGAGGTGTCTGGGGGCCCCCCTCCCCCTACTACCACTTCGTCACTGAACCGAATAGTGCGGCTTACACGCTTGGGGGAACCTTGGGGGGCCCCCCGAGGGTACTGGGGGGCCCCCATGGATGCTGGGGGGCCCCCTTCCTGTGCTGCTGAAGCCATGCGAGGAATAAAGAGGGCCTCGCAGGCTTAATTAGAAAAGAATTAAAGATAAAGAAATGAAAAGACAACAGACGCCCTCAAAGAGGGGCCCCCAGACGTCCCTCTCCCCGTTTGCTGCGCCCGACCCTACTCACCGCTGCAGCAGCTGCAGCAGCAGCAGCAGTGGCAGCAGCAGCAATTGAGGTGTATGCACAAAGGGGGCTTTAAGGAGGAGAGAAAAGGGTAAAAAAGATATTGATGCACTCAACTGTCTGCTGTTTGTTTGATTTCCACTGAGGCAGCAGACAGCAGCAGCAAAGGAGGCCCCGGCCCTGTTGCTGCTGCTGCTGCTGCTGCTTAACCCCTTAATGCAGCGCTTGTTGGTGTTTTATTCATCTCCATTCATCGCGTATTCATTTATATTTTCATTTGTTTTGAAGGAAGCCGCTTAGAAGGGCCTTACCCTCTAGGGGGCCCCCTGCCTCCGCTCAGTGTGTGTGCGTGCAGGGGGGGGGGGCCC